ATTAATTTTTTGCCAACCAGATGTGGGAAATTTGTTGAATTTAAGATGTCTTCTCCTGTGTTTTCAGGTTATTTCCGGTCTAAAAATTAACCTTGACAAATCTGAATCGGCCAGGATTGGTGGGAATGGGGATGCAAATCAACTTGCAAGGGTGTTAGAGTGTAAAGCGGTCAAGTTCCCCATCAAGTACGTGGGTATTCCTTCGGGTGCTAAATATAAAGACATTGCATCATAGGATCCTACACTAGAGTTATTTGAGAAGAGGCTTATCAGTTGGAAACATATCTTCCTTTCAAAGGGTGATAAATACACCTTAATAAAGAGCACAATGGCCAACTTTCCTATTAATTATCTATCTACCCTCACAATTCCCGTGAATTGGCTAAGAAATTAGAAACAATTCAATGTCACTTCCTCTGAGGTGATGAAGATGAGAAACACAAGTATCATTCGGTAAATTCGGAGAACATAAAAAAACCAAACAGTTTGGGTGGACTTGGTATTAAATCTACGGAAAAAATGAATGATGCCTTCCTCGGCAAATGATTGTTGAAGTACATGAATGAAGATAATAGGTTGTGGAAGCTAGATGGGGTGACCCAAATTCAGCTGGGAGGAGTAGACTTATTGTCCCGCATGGTAGAGGTTTATGGAGGAAAATCTTATCTCACTGGCCTCAGTTCAATCTTTGTGCACAATGGAAACTAGATAGGGGCAATAAGATCAAATTTTGGACCGATGAGTGGTTGGTATATAGGTAGCCTTATGAACTGTTTTCGAGGATATTTAGTATCACTCAATCCAGAAATATACTTATTGAAGATGTCTGCTAATGGTCAAATGGTAATATAAATTGGTATATAAATGTAGTAAGAAACTTAAATGATGAGAAATAAGTGACTATGTGGATTGCTAAAGATTTTATCATCACAATAGATCTCTCTAACTCCGACAAATTTGTTTGGAAATTGGAGAAATCTAAGAAATTTTCTGTTAGATCTTACTACAATTTCTTAATGGAGGATTCATCCATGGGCTGTTGGAATTTTCCTTACAAACAAATATGGAAAATAAAAGTTCCTCTGAGGGTCACTTTTTTGCATGGAAAGCCTGCTGGGAGAATATTTTTACTATTGACAAACTTAAAACTAGAGGACAAATCCTTCTGAATGGGTGTTATATGTGTTTGAAGGCTGAGAAATCCTGCAATCATTTACTGCTTTCATGCTCTATGACTCATGATCTTTGGTGCATGATTTATGGTTTTTTGGGGATCTAATGGGTCATGGCAGGTTCAATTTGTGGAAAAATTTGGGCTTGAGATGGGTTATGTGTAAAAAAAATATTGTAAACATTATTCCATCATTTGTTTTTTGGACTGTTCAGAAAGAACGGAATTCTAAAGCTTTTACGGGCAAAGTAAGTATGCTTTATAGTATTAGAGATAGATAAATGCATCCTTTTGGAATCATCTTATTAGGTCATGACATTATCAATTATGAGTATTTTAGGAATGTCATTGATACTCTAACTCTTATGTAAATATTTTGTACATAGGCAGAACCCTTGTTTTGGTACCTTATTAATACAAATATATTGCATACTTTTTATTTCAAAAAAAAATAATAACTATTTGGTTAAGAATGACACGTCGGATAACAAGTTCCCTTTTCGGCAAATCTGGAAAGTGAATGCTACTCTTAAAATTACTTTCTTTGCTTAGGAAGCAAGGTGTGGATATATATTGACCATTGACAAGTTGAAGAGAACGGGAAAGATTACGATTAATGGTTGCTTTCTATTCAAGAGGGGAAAGAGACTTGCGACTATATTTTACCATAGTGTCCTCTAGCATATATTTTACTACGGCCTCCTCTATGAGTTTGGGGATTGGCTGAGTAATGGTGGGTAATATAAGAGAGGAGCTACGGACATGGAATGGTGTTAACAGTAAAAAAAAAAAAAAAGAATTTGGGTCTCATTCCCCTTGTAGTCCTTTGGATGGTGGAGAAAAAAAGAAATATAAGAGCTTTTGAAGGAGTGGAAAAAGATTTTGATAGGCTTAAAGCTAGATGGGTTCAAACCCTATATTTTTTATCATGGGTCACCCTTTGTACTCTAGAAAGGGTGCAAGAAACCTTATCAATATCCTAATTGACATGTAAATATTTTTTATACACACGTTGGCACTCCTTTGGTGCTTGTAATGAGATTGATATAAAGGAGAAGTCTATTCCTTTCTATGCACAGTTTAGCGAAAATCTTCTTTCACAAAGAATCGAAGATGGGTAGTCATTATCATCTTGTTGACTTTCTTCATCAATATGGACAGAGAGTCAAAAACTCTAAGGAGCTTCATGAGGGTTCGGTGGATTCCTTACGGGCAGCTATTTGCGACGTATTATAAGATCTTATAACTCAGAAAGGGCCTAAATTGCCCCAAAACTTGAATATATATCTAAGTCAAAAGAGAGTATACTATTACAAAGTCAGATAAATCAGGATAGAATGACTGACTTGTATGGTGTATTTTATGATCTTTGATGATACATAACATACTTTTTATTTCTAAAAATAAAAAAAGTAATAAGCACTTAATTGAAATGTAATGCTCATTTTTTAAATAAAGATTTATTTACTATAAGTGACTTAAAACATTCAAGCATCTTAAGCACATTTTTTCCAGTAATCCTAAAGTCTCTAAATCCCAAAATTTATGACAAGTGAGTTGCGTAGAGGACGATCATTTGATCACACAATAGTGGACCGGTTACCTTATCTAAGAATTTTAAGAATCCCTCCATTACCATTTTCTGGGTTAGTCTTTATGTGGCTGAGAAATAATACCTAATGCATGCATTTTGCCCTATTTTTGATTTACTTGATTTTAAACTGCTTGCTTTTATCTTCGGTTTTCAATTAGAATTACAATTTCTCATCTACTTGCAGATATTGAGCATAATATGAAAAAAAAGAAGACCAGAGGAAGTTATGGAGTATGAATTCTCTGAAATACTCTGGCAAATGAGCAACTGGTGACTTGATTTACCTTCTGAACCAACTCAGCCACCTTCTCTGGAGTAGCGAAAGCTTGATCCTTGAGTGGTCTGGCCATAACCGACTCTACCTTCTGGTTCTGACTATTGGATGATAAAGCAACTTTAACAGCAGTCACCTAGCAAAACAAATAGAAAACTTCAGACATGAAGTGCAGCTACAATTGAACGCTGGTAGGAAACAAAATCCCATGGCAATATCTAGTTTGATTCTGACCGACAAATATATAGTTTTTGTTAGATATCTTTCAGCAAGTTATAATAATCACTTGTGCTCAGCTCTGCAACTGCTGCCATGGCTGTTCTCATAATAAAGCTCACATTAAAGTGGCATTCAAAAGAAACATGTGCCATGGTGCAACTTTGTCAACTACTATTTTGGAGAGAGCCCAGGTAAAAGGATAATTTCTATGTTGCATCTGTTCATTTTGAGAATTTGACTCTGATCTTTCATGCTGAAATGAGGAAATCGTGAATCTCATGTATTTACTGATGTAGTCAACAACCTCGGAACACTCCATCATTAGATGAACAGGTTTGACTCAGTGTAATTTTGCTTACAGGAGAAGTTTTGTTCAGAAATTGTAGAATCCTACATTATGAGGGCATAAAGTGAGGAAGAGGAGAACCTTGGTCACAAATGAAAGCATAGGATCGACAACTAGCTTGGTGACCGCCATAATGAACTCTTCACATGTGGATTTGAGGCTTTTCTCCAGTTCCTGAAGAGTAAATGAGCACCCGTGTCATAATGCCAACAAAAGAGAAATGTAACAAACTAATTCAACTTCATATAGCAGCATTATCAGGGAAACAAGCTATCAAAGTGAAAAATGTAAGCATTCACGCTTTAAAGAAGTTCGGAATATTATAATCAAGTAAAAAAGAATACCTAATTACTAACAAGAGCAGAAGTGATAAAAGCTACCCATCAAGATTTTACCAAACAAACTCTTCCAAAATATAACAAAACAAAAGAGAGTATTAGGGACATGGAATAGGTTCTTCAGCGACATTATATGTGATCATCCTTGTATTCTCCCATGTGCTTTTAACAGTTCAAAGCACATCAATAGAGTAATAAGCCACAAATGTTCAAAATATCTGGCCGTTGCCTGTTGTGCACACTTCTAACTAGTTACTTGTTAAAATAATTTTTAATCGAAAGTCACTAAAAGATGACAATAAATACTTACGTTTCCTCTCGCAGTGACTTTACCACAACTCTATCAGATCAAATTATTGTCACATTCCCACTTCCTGAGCTAATTATGGGTTGAAGGAGGTATGAGACAGAATCTACAAAGGAACATAAACATACAAATTAACTAAAAGGATTAGGAATATTTAATTTCCTTTTTTAACTTTTGGGAAAATTTTACAATAAAAGTTAATAGAAGGTTTACTTTCCTATTTCATAGATTTTCTATTTTCCTAATTCTTTCTATTTAATTTATTTTCTTATTTCCTAGATTTCCTATTTTTCTAATTTTTTTTATTTAATTTATTTTTCTATTTACTAGATTTTCTAAATTTCCCATTTTTGATGTATTTTGGTGCCTATAAATAAGGTACCATAGGCTTAGTTATTCAGTAGATTATTCATGATTATTATTCACATATTCCGATATTGTTTCGATTATTGAGATCTGGTATCTCCATATTTTATTCTTAATAGAATACCATAAGTTCTGTCATCAAGCTCTCTTTGTACTCTATCAAAGAAAGAGCTATTACAAAAAGAGAGAATACGATATCCTCCACTCAATCTTTTGGACAAAA